CCCCTTCCCTCTCTTGGAAATTCCGTCCAGCCTCCGAGGTGGGCTAGGCGGGGGGGGGGAAATCCCCTTTCTGCCCCCTCAACCCAGGCCGTCCGGCCATTTAATCCCTGCTCCTGATCTTTCTGGATTCCCCTTGTCCCGCCTCCCCCCCTCCCGCCACTCTTCTCCTGCAAATGGGGAAATCGTGCCCAGATCTTCCTAACAATGTGCTGCAAGTTTTTTGAACCACCTCGGTGGGTGGGAATTTTCCCTCTGTAATTTCTCTTTGGCAGTAAGATTAGGAAGTTAAAACACTCCACTTGCCTTAAAAACTTTCATAATCGGTCCAGGTCAAATCAGAGTTTGAAAGTAACTAGTAACAAGTAGTGTAGTTACCTGAAACTACTTAATTTCTGCCCAAAGGAATTAATGATTGTATGTGATTCATGTAATCGTTATACTGTATTTCCGTTTTAGGCCAATGAACAACACTTAAACTACTTAGGTGTAACGAGTAACATTTACTTATGTAACTTTTTAAACGGCATTTTGAGGGGAATTTTTCAGGTTTTATCGTTTTAATAGTACTTAAGGGGCAGGGCCTTTAGTTTTTGTCTTTCCTGGTTTTGTATTGCTAAGGTGCAATATCAGAACTGGACACTACAGGGGGGCAAGAAAAACATCAAAGCAGCTGGGTAGTAAAGCACAATGCTTGTTGTAACGGCCTGCTTAGTGTTTATTTATGTGTGGAACTTCAACAGCAAAATCTGCTGTCATGATGTGACGGGGTGCTAGCTGTACATGTCCAGAAAAGCAACTTGCTCCTTGTCATGTATGTGAATGTAGTATGTATAGGTCTTTTGCAAAGGTAATGGATGTTAACTACCTATTCAAGACCAAGCCATCTCTAAATACTTCATATTACAACAGGGATTGTTCACAACAACAGTGTTGCTTTGAATATCACCACCGCCACCAGGAAGGTTAAATTCGGAAGGAAAAAGGACACATCTGAGACAGATGGCCGATAATGCTGTTGCCCCGATGATCAAAACATCCATGTGTTTTGAATCCACAACCTGGTTCCAAAATGCCATTGGGTGTTACACCAGGCCTCAGCATCCTTCTGCATAAAACCCTTTATATTCTCTGTTGGAAATAAAACAGGGGAAAAATCAATTTGGATTTTAAACTAATAGTACTGTATTAGTTTGCTGTTGCTTGACATTAGCTGTTCATGCCCATTCTTGGACCTTAGAGACCCACACTGTTAGAAAAGAACAAAGTGTAGTTATGTAACTTTTTAAACGGCATTTTGAGGAGAATTTTTCTTGTCACCAAAATTACAGTGGTGCCCTGCAAGACGATGTTAATTGGTCCCATTGAAATCACTGTTTAGCGAAATCGTCGTCATGCGAAATCCGTTTCCCCATTGGAATGCATTGAAACCCGTTTAATGCGTTCCAATGGGGAAAATACCTTGTCCAGTGAAGATCGTCCATAGGGAAGCCATTTTGTGAGCACCGATCAGCTGTAAAAATGGCTGTCCTGCGAAACATGGGTCCGGAAAACACAGGGCAGCCATTTTGCGAACCCGACGATCAGCTGTAAAAATCGTCGTCTTGTGAGCAAACGGTTCGTGAAGCACGGACCAAATCGTCATCAAGCGAAAATTCCCCCATTGGAATGACTGTTTTGCGAATCACTATAGCAATTGCAAAAAAAGTCATTGTTATGCGGATTCGCCGTTTAGCGGGGTCGTCGTTTTGCGAGGTACCATTGTATGTGTTTAAAACATTTGAAGTGTAATAATTCCCCCTAGAGGCCACAGTGAATCCACAACCTGGTTCCAAAATGCCATTGGGTGTTACACCAGGCCTCAGCATCCTTCTGCATAAAACCCTTTATATTCTCTGTTGGAAATAAAACAGGGGAAAAATCAATTTGGATTTTAAACTAATAGTACTGTATTAGTTTGCTGTTGCTTGACATTAGCTGTTCATGCCCATTCTTGGACCTTAGAGACCCACACTGTTAGAAAAGAACAAAGTGTAGTTTATATTCTCAAAGGCTTTCATGGCTGGGATCCAATTGTTGTTGTGGGTTTTCCTGGCTGTTTGGCTATGTTCTTAAGGTTTTTCCTCCTAACGTTTCGCCAGTCTCTGTGGCCAGCACCTTCAGAGGACAGGAGTCGGAACTCTGTTTCTGTTCTGGTGCAGTTTGTGGGATAGTGTGGTTTCTTTAACTGAGCCCCTGGTGTATTCTTGTCACAAAATTACAGCAGTGCCCTGCAAGACGATGTTAATTGGTCCCACTGAAATCACTGTTTAGCGAAATCGTCATCATGCGAAATCCATTTCCCCATTGGAATGCATTGAAACCCGTTTAATGCGTTCCAATGGGGAAAATACCTTGTCCAGTGAAGATCGTCCATAGGGAAGCCATTTTGTGAGCACCGATCAGCTGTAAAAATGGCTGTCCTGCGAAGCATGGGTCCGGTAAACACAGGGCAGCCATTTGCGAAGCCGATAATCAGCTGTAAAAATCATTGTCTTGTGAACAAATGGTTCGCGAAGCACAGACCAAATCATCATCGAACCTAATCGACGTCCAGCGAAAATCCCCCATTGGAATGACTGTTTTGCGAATCGCTATAGCAATCACAAAAAGTCATCGTTATGCGGATTCACCGTTTAGCGGGGTTGTCGTCTTGCGAGGTACCACTGTATGTGTTTAAAACATTTGAGGTGTAATAATTCCCCCTAGAGGCCACAAAGGCTTCTTGTCTTTTGCCTGAGGGAGGACACAATATTTGCTTTTTTATCTACACGCCAGTATTTTATTCTTCTCTTTCTTTTTTTACTTCTGTTAGCCGCCTGGCTTTAAGGCAGCCTTCACACTGAGGACTGGAGAACCCGATGATGAACAGAAACGGAGGCCCCAGAAGTAACAGAGAACGACGATGAGAAGTTGCACCTAGAACTCCATGATGGCTGCCAAGCCAGTGGGGGCATCCAATTGGGTTCTCAGGTTCCCATCACCAGTAGAACCGGGTGTCCAAATCAGTGTTGAAATGGAGGAGGACTCCCCTACTGTTGGGACCATTAAGGGGATCCTGAAGCGCTCACGATCCCGGAAGGACCGAATGGATAAAAAGGAAGCATTTGTGACCCCCCAGTGTTGGGAAGTCCGACAACAGACGCTCCTGCCTACGCCGACTGAGGTGGAGGAGGAAAAGGATGAGGACGAAAAGGAGGCAGGCACCAAAATGTATGAGGAGATACTGGATGATGATATTGAGACTTGCGTTGTCAACTTTGATAACGCCTCAGACCTGAAAGGGACAAGAGGGACAAGAACTGACGTGATGGTGGGGCCGAACTGTATGATTACTATAGAAGAAGAAGAGGTAGAGCTTGACAAACAGGAGGCACCGAAATCTGCAATCTTGTTGAAGGATGACATAGAAGCCTGCATAATATCTCCCGAAGAAGTGAAGGATCCTCAGGAAAAAGACGTTCCCCGAGCTGTGATTCTGGGTGGAGGTAGTTTTGAGGCCGTCGTGGCGTCCTCTGAGAGGGTGGGCCGATCCAAAGCAGAAAAGGCCACCCAAACTGAAGTGACCCAGGCAGATATCTCTAAGATTTGTGAGGTCCGTCTCCAAAAAATAGCTGATTCCAAGAAAAAGGAGTTGACTGAATCTGAGGTGGCATCGGATAAGGGTGACCAGGCCAGCATGGCTTCTTCAGAGACACCAGCTGATCCTAAAGGAGAAGGAGTGACCCATATTGAGAGAGGAGCAGAAGTTGGTCTAGCAGATGGAGACAAAAGAGACAATGAGAAAGAGCAGGCGGCCATTTTTGGAGAAGGCGGCATTGTCATGGAGACCGCTCGCCAGGGTTTCCGGTGGTTTCGATACCAAGATGCCGAAGGTCCACGGAAGGCTTACGGACAACTGCGGGAGCTTTGCCGTCTCTGGCTGAAGCCCGAGAGCCGCAGCAAAGAACAGATAATGGAGCTTCTGGTCCTGGAACAGTTTTTGGCCATTTTGCCTCAAGAAATACAAAGTTGGGTGTGGCAGCAGCACCCCGAAACATGTGGCCAGGCTGTTGACATGGTGGAAAAATTTCTAACTGGGCTTTCTTTGCTGAAGAGACATGGCAAAAAGGTGAGACATCTCAATGTGGATTGAAGGAATGGGATTTTTGGATTTCTTGAATTACAGATCCCATAATTCTCCATTTGGGGGAGTGTTGCCTGACAGATAGACCCCGCACTGTGGGTCAACAGGGGAGAGGCCTCAACTGCAATCTCCAAGGCTGAGCTAGGCCTAGCTTTGTCCAAAGTTCCTGTGCTAGCTGGAGGCTTCATTCCTGAACAGAACGTTAGGCAGAGCTTGGCCTAATTCAGACTCAAAGCCTTCCAGTTAAGGCCTTTCTCCCAGGTGAGCCACAGTTAGAGGTTTGTCTTTTGGGCAGAACTTTCAGCATGGAGAGTTATGTGATTTGTAGTCCAGGAAATCAGAAAATCCCATCTTTGTTAGATAGTACAGTGGTGCCTCGCTTTACGATTGCCCCGCATTACGACGAATCCGCTTTACAACAATCTTTTTGCGATCGCAATTGCGATCACAAAATGATGGTCTGAATTGGGGAATTTCGCTTTGCGATGATCGGTTCCCTGCTTCGGGAACCGATTCTTTGCAAAACGGTGATTTTTCAACAGCTGATCGGCGGTTTCAAAATGGCCACTGGGTAAATAAAATGGCTCCCCGCTGTGTTTAGGAACGGATTCCTCGCTATACAGGGAGCGAAAATGGCCACCGTATGGAGGATTCACTGAACAGTGAGTTTTAAGCCCATTGAAACGCATTGAAAGGTTTTCAATGCATTTCAGTGGGCTTTTTAGTTTCGCTTTATGATGTTTTCGCTAACCGGTGATTTTCCTAGAATGGATTATCGCCGTTAAGCGAGGCACCACTGTATGTGATTTAGCCAAGCAGCACATTCTGTTGTTATGTGACATGTTGGGTTCAGGGCTCGGAAAACTTAGTGTTTTTGGATTACAATTTTGGGGTTTTCTTTTTGGGGGTGGAGATGATTTAGTAATTTGCCCATGTAAATAGATACGAATCATTCAAATTTCTAAAAAAATATATGTATAGTTGGTAGGTTTACTGAGTTTCAGCAGCTCTGGCTAAAAGTGTATTTTTCTTTGAAACAAGACACCCTACCACTAAATTAAGCAGAACGAAAGCAAAACCAGAAATTTTCACTTGAAACAGGATGTGAGGAGAGCATGAACTTTGTTTTCAAGCAGAACAGCTATTCCAAGAAAGCAGTGATGGCATGGTGCGGCCCCTGTGAATTCAGGCCAGACCAGTGTATTCCCCTGAAGTTCTTCATGTTTGCAGTAAAGTGCCCATCTTTTGCATCAGAAGTCCTTTATTCAGGACCTGTTTAAGCATCTCGCTTCCTGGTTGGCAGCATGCCTCACCGAGAGAAGCCTTTCTTGAGGAATTAAAAGGAAGGGTGCCATTACTGTGACTACCCTGCATATTGGAAATGGAGTGGAAGTAACCGTTCTTTGAGCTTTATGGTAAATTGCAAACCACACTTTTCTGAAAAAAATTAAATGGTCATACTAGAAAGACATTTCAGTAGTCTCTGATCAGAGACCAGGGCTATGTGTACATTATGCTTTTAATTTTTTTCTTTATCTGATTAAGCTGAATTCTGCAATGAGAAGACACAGAGCATATCATTCTGTGTGATTAATTTGTTCCAAAGCCCATCAAACCCCATTTTGGAATTCTTGGACATTTTTAAAATAAAATTCCTTTGCATCTCTTCCCCTCATGCTTTGACCTGGAGATCTTTCTGTTATTTTCCAAGATGCTTTCCAGCTTCCCATTCAGTCATGGGGACTAGAAACTTGGTGTGAAAATGGAAAGCTGGAGATTATGTCACAGTAGTGGTTCTGTCGTTTTCTTCCCAGTGTATAGAACTGTCCTATTACTGGTCATTGTCCCGAGATAAATAACTAGATGAACTATTGCTGGTTCCTGGACCTTCATGCATGCTAAGGCCAGTGCAAGCCTTTAATGTTTTGATAAAGACTGCTGCAGTAGACAGGACTAATAAACAGGCAATAAACCTTTTTAAAATTGCATTTTCCTCCCAGGCACTGGTCACTTTTGACGAGGTGGCTGTGTATTTCTCTGAAGAACAGTTGAACCTCCTGGACAAGACTCAGAGTGGGATCTACCGTGAAGTTATGCTTGAAAACTTCGAGAACGTCCAGTCATTGGGTGAGATCATGCTGGCTGTGGGAAAGGGGCTTGAGGCCTACACAAGTTTTTTATTAGAAGGCAACTGAATCACGTTTGGTCAACCTGTTTTTCCACATGTGACAGGAAGAAAGAGACCCAGACTTCTTTCTGTCGAAGCACTAACTGGTTCAGAATTATTTGAGTGGCATTCTTCCACATGTGACAGGAAGAAAGAGACCCAAACTTCTTTCTGTCGAAGCACTAATTGGTTCAGAATTATTTGAGTGGCATTCTTTGATAAACCATTCCGTACTTTTGATGGAAATAAATTGTCCACCCTTCATCTTCTTCAATAGTTGTGCTGATATATTCTCAAAAGCTTTCACAGCCTGGATACAATAGTTGTTGTGGGTTTTCCAGGTTGTTTGGCCGTGTTCTGAAGGTTGTTCTTCCTAACGTTTCGCCAGTCTCTGTGGCTGGCATCTTCCGAGGACAGGAGTCAGAACTCTGTCTGTGCTCTGGTGCAGTTTACTTGGACAGTTGAGTATTTATAGCGGTGGGAACAGCTTTTGTCCTGTTCAGGAGATTGGGTGATTATGGTGATCAGTGTTTTTTGTGTGTGGGTATATTGTTATGATAAGGGGGAGATATTATCTGTCACTGTAATTGTTGGTGTTGTTAGGTGGTCTTTTGTGTGCAGTGATCACCGGTCCTTGTGGCTGGGTAGAGTTCGTTGTTTTAGTCTGCAGTATCTCTCATGTTCTTTGATTCTGGTGTGGATGCTGCATTTTGTGGTTCCAATATATACCTGGCCACAACTGCAAGGTATCTGGCATACTCCTGCAGTGGTGAGGGGGTCCCTTTTGTCCTTTGTTGACCCCTTCACAACTTATCACAACAATACACCCACAACAAAAAAACACGCTGATCACCATAATCACCCAATCTCCTGATCAGAACAAAAGCTGATCCAACAGCTATAAATACTCAACTATCCAAGCAAATTGCACCAGAGCACAGACAGAGTTCTGACTCCTGTCCTCTGAAGATGCCGGCCATAGAGACTGGTGAAACGTTAGGAAGAAAAACCTTAAGAACACGGCCGAACAACCCAAAAAATAGCAACCATTGTGCTTATACTTGAACTCTGTGAAACAGTTCTTTTTTAAAAATGGGACATTTGCCAAGAATAAAACATAAGCAATGGAAAAATGTCCACTTTATATCACTGCCCTCTATTGATACTTAAAGAGGTTTAAGTTGAGATGAAAAAGTTATATTTTGGGACCAGAACTTCCAGAATACCCCAGATTTGTAGTACAGAAATGTAATGTTTCCTATTTCTGGTTCTGAGTTTATTGTAGCTTATTATCTTTGAATTCAGATTATATTTGTCTTCGGTGTAGAAGGGATTGTCACTCTCGAATTGGCTTTCTCAGACACTGTTCCAAGTCTTCTATTCAGAGCGTGTTACCATCGTCTCTTGAGACTGAAGGATGCCAAATAATAATAATAATAGTATCTTTGGGTTATGTTATATTCTGGTAGATTGAAATCTTTGTTTTTAAAAGAAAAATCCTTCTGTCAAATATTCTTTTTTTAACTGGTTCTTCTCACTACTGGTAGGATTTCCAGTTCACAAACCAGACTTGATCTTCGAAATGGAAAAGAGCAAAAACCAGGAGATTTTTTCTCAAGACCCCGAGAACTCCAAGGAAGGGACTCCCATGGGAACTGGAGGTGAGGAAGGGGTGGCTCATAATATCACAGTCATAATTTTCTCCTTTGTCTAGTCATGGGACAATGTCCAGGGTTCCTCGGGGAGATTGCCCTTCAGTCAGAGATGGGTTTCTCGTTGTCTTCCATTCTTTCTTGCAACATGCAGGAGCCCCAGAAGGGAGCTTTGAGTTTGTTCTAGGACAAGGGTGGAAAGAATGCTATTACAGAACATGGAACAGGATCTAGTGGCCCATCCAGCACCCTGCTCCTTAATGGGATTTTCACAGAACATCCTAGAATAGGTGAACTTACCTTGGATTCAGCAAGGCAACCCTTATTTTCAAAAGCAGTTGGAAAATACTTGGTGCGTGTACCTTGTGTGCCCTGGCTTACCAGGGGCTTAGCAGATTCCACAACCGGGTGCCTATCATCCCCATAAACCTAGCCATTAGCTGGGCTGGTTGGGATTGAGTGGAGCTGTAATTTGAGACTTGTGGAGGTAGCAGGTCATCTACCGCTGCAGCTAAGTTTGTTGTTATGTGCCATCAAGTTGCTTCCGACTTACGGAGACTCTGTGGAGGAGCCACCTCCAAAATGCCCTGTCCTCCACAACCCTGGTGAGCTCCTGCTGACCCAATCCTGCTGACTTACTTTAGGGAGCCTGCCCATCTCACATTTGATCCTCTTTTCTTGCTTCTCCTCCTCCACCTTCTGTGTCTTCTCCTTTCCAGACGTTGTGGAGGTCTTGAGTGAGTTGGAGTGCGAAGAACCGCCAACCAAGGGGGCTGCTGAGCACCCGCGGGCTGTGCCAAGATCTGTGAGCCCTCTCAAAGATGGGGACGGCTCTTTTAAGAGCAGCCCTCCTGCCAAGGAAGAGAGGCGCCGTCGCTGGTATCGGACGGAGCCTCGCTTTGGTTGCCCCATCTGCGGGAAGACGTTCCCTTGGCAGTCAGCCTTGGCTCGTCACCGGCTTTCTCACTCCAGCGAGAAACCCTACCAGTGCTCAGACTGTTCTAAGAGTTTTGCCCAGCGCTCCAAGCTGGCCCGCCATCAATGCCTTCCGACTGCGGAGCTCTCCTGCGAGTGCCCGGACTGTGGCAAGCGCTTCTGTGACCGCTCCAAGCTGGCCCGCCACCAAAAGAGCCACGCCGGGGAGCGACCTTTCCGGTGCGACGTCTGCGGCCGTGGCTTCTGCCTGAGTTCGAAACTGTGGCAGCATCGGCGGGTGCACACGGGGGAGCGTGCCCACGCCTGTCCCGAGTGCGGGAGAAACTTTAGTCGCCGCTCCAATCTTATCCAACATCTCCGGGTTCACCAGCTCCGGCGGCAACAGCAGCAAGAGGGGCAGAGCCCGGGGTTCCACCCGGAAGAGCCTGACCTTCTCGGTGAGGAGGAGTGGGAATATGAGTGGATTGCCGACACCCAGGATAGGGAGCAGCCCAGAGAGCTCCGTGTTGAAAATGGAGAAGGCGACCCCGTTTCAGAGCCCTCTGTCGGGGATCGTGACGGGGAGGAGATCGTGGAGCTCCGCATTGGAGATTACGAGCACGGGTGGACGACAGAGATGAACGGGGGGGATCATGTGCGTGAGGGTGTCGTGGATTCATCTGAGAGCCGAGAACACCATCCGTTCTTGGAGAGTTCTTCTCAGAATCTGGGGAGTGACCAGATAGCTCAGCTCTGCAGTGAGATAGTGCAGTTCCGTGTAGGGGATTTTGCAGGGCGCGGGTGGAACACGGAGTTTGTGAGTGAAGACGATTGCTTGCTCATTGGCGATGAGAAGCCAACACCCCCTGCCGCTCAGAAGCCTGGCCTCCATTTGGAGGCCTTGTCCAGCGGTCAAGGACTGTCGGCAGGAAACGAGGTCCCCCAGTGCTCCGACGGTGGACGGAGGTTCACCCGGAGTTCCAGCCTCTCGCAACACCAACTCATCCGCAGTACGGAGGATCCCCACACATGCGAGAAATGCTGCCGCTCTTTCAGGTCACGTAGCCTGCTGGCCCAGCACCAGCTCGCGCATGCCTTCAGGCAGCCCCATGCATGTCCCAAATGCCCCAAAAGCTTCAGCCACCGTTCCAAATTGCTGCGCCATCAGTACAGCCACACGAGCGAGCGCCCTTTCCCGTGTGGGGAGTGTGGGAAAAGCTACAAGGACCATCCGACTCTCCTCCGGCACCAGCAGGCCCACGGCAAGCCCCAGACCTTGGGGTGTACGTCTGCCCCACAGACTTCTCCCTCCTTTACCAGCCCCATGGTGGTGATCTTATAAATACTCAGGAGTGCCAGAATTGGGCGCAAATTCCACCACGGGAAGCATCCCCTGTATTGTTACAACTGGAATCCTTGATGTGACGAATCCTATTTATAACGGTTCTGGGTTATTTTGGATGGGTCCTTGGGTGGCTTTTTAAAAATTGCAGTTTTGATACCATGTTCAGTCTTTTTGAGTAAGCGTTGGGAAAGTTGTTTGAAAAGGGAGAGAGGCTATGTATTGGAAACTTAAGGGCAGCAAACCTGGAAATCCAAGTATCCTGCACTTGCAAATGTCTGCAATATTTACCCCCTCACCAAAGGGTTATTTCAGTCCAAACTCCAGAGGTATATCTCCCCTCGCCTTCACGTCCAGAGGTCTGTGCAATGACGCCAGAACCCACGCTTTCATCCAGCAAACGTGGCTGCCATCTTTTTTGCTTTCTACAAAAAGTGCTAGATCCTCAGGCAACATCTTGGAAATGTCCCCTGCCTTCTGTGTCCTACATAATCAGTCCACTGTCTGGTTAGCACAAACAGTAAATGAGTCTGAACTGAATGGAACAGCGAGATGCTAGCTGAGAGAGGATCCCGTTGAGCTGCTGAGGACTCAGCAGGCAGGGAGAAAAAAAATCTACCTGTTGTAACAGATGCTTGTGTCTCTTTTCTGCCGTGTATCAGAGGACAGTTGGGTTGGAGGGAGTCCTTGCATACAGAAAGCTAGTATGACAAGGAAAGATGATTTAGAACCTTTCTCCCAGATATGCCAGAGATAACTGCACATTTTCCCCTCACATAGATGCAGTTCCTCCTCACTCCCACTGTGATCTGAGATGATCTCGTTCAGAGAAAAGTTTACTATCTCATCACCTCTTTGTGTGAATTAGGCCTGAAAAGGCTCAATGTGAATGTAACATTACCTTTTGTTTAGGGCTAAATTATATTTGCTGAAACAAAATTTTGTCTTACAGGGGGTTTTCCCCCCACAAGTTTCTTCTTGGTTTTACAGTTCTCCCTCAGGGCTTTACTTGAGATTTTTTTTAGTGAAAAAGAAACTACTGCCGTTTCCCCCCCTCTACCTCATTCTGGTCTTTGTCTACTGTGAATGTTCCCCTCATGGGCTTCAGTTATGTGAGGAAGATGGAGGAACCCTTCAGGAGCTGGTTCACAATGGTTTACTACCTGAAGCACAGAAGCAAATAGCACCCCCCCCCCGTCATCCAAGCCAGCCAAGCTCTTTGAACATGAGGCAGAACATCTCACCTCCATCCCTCAGCAGTAATATAACCTCCTTCCTTTGCCTAATGGTAGGGCTGGCCCTGCTTGGATGATTCAGCATCAGTGAGAGGGGTTATGAGGTAGTTGTTGTGATCTGGTTGTTTATACGTATGGGAAATAAAATCTATTTTCTATTTTGTTTCTTTGGTTTCCCAGCAAAATCAGTGAAGCAAAGTTTTCAGCTGTAGAACACACACACGCACGCGCACACGGGCTTTCCTTGTGGCCCAAGGGGGTAAATTGTTATTCTCATTTTCTCTGGCACAGAGTCTCACAGCCGCCTCTGACTGAGGACTGGGAAGGAAGCAACCCTTCAGTTGTCTCCAGCTCCTAGCATTAGTAATGGTGGGAACTGCAGCCTGACAGGATTTGGAGGGCCATGCATTTCTAAGCCTCAGGAAGCTTATAGAGATCGTGCCAGTCCTGGTTAAAATAAAAAATCTCAAGGCTGGACTCCTTCCCCTGCAAATCCTGCTCCTCCCCATCAATGCTGCTGTTGGCTTCCTAGTCTAGTAGCGATGGACCAGTGATACTTCTGTGACCACAGGTTGCGAATCTCTGAGCTAGAGGGACCAATGGCACCTTCTCAAATCCCCCAGAAGATGTAGGGTTCAGAAGCAAGGATAAGTGCAACTCCCTAACTTTCTTTTGACTTCCCAAATTCTTGTGCCTTCAGCAACAGCCTGACACAGGACCCTGTAGCAGGCTGAAACTTTCAGTACAAAGGAGATGTGCATCATTTGAGTTGGTCCAGAAGTCCACTTATGTTCTCGTCGAATAATTTTGTTTTATTTACCTGTCGCTTTATTTCATTTTTAGGCCACGTTTCTCCCCAGGTTGGCTCACATTGGTCAAAACAAGTTAGGCTAAAACACCGTAAACTATAAAGTAGGAAAACAGTTAAATGTAGTAGTAGTAGTTATCCAAGAAGGACTTAATCTTAGCCAAAGATTAATCTCTGCCAAAAAGGCACGTCTTTGGCTGTTGCGGAAAGGATAAAAGGGATGAGGGAAACCTAACCTTTCAAGGGAGAGCATTCCACAACCTAGGAGCAGCCATCACTTGTATTCCTATTAAATGTGGTTGCGACAGCAATGGGACTGAGAGAAGGACTTTGAAGATCTTAAGGGCTGGGAAGAACTCGTGTGGGGAGATACAGTCCCGCAGATAGCCTGGACCCAAGCCATATAGAGTTTTAGAGGTCATGAGCAGCACTTTGTAGTGGGCTGCATTTTAGCACAAAAGCCATTAAGGGCATGGCTCTTCGTTGGGTCATCCTTTGTATTTTTCTCTACCTTTACAAATACTCTGGTTAAGACCACCATTCCTTTTGGCAGTTAAAAGAAAGTAAAAAGCAAAGCATTCACTCGTGTGTCTCAGAGATAAACTTCAGTTCAAAGCATTCCCTGTTTTTTTCCCCCGTGACTGCTTTACCTTGTGTCTACTTTTAGCATTCACTCGTGTGTCTCAGAGATAAACCTAAGTTCAAAGCATTCCCTGTTTTTTCCCCCATGACTGCTTTACCTTGTGTCTACTTTTCAGCAAAGTTCCAAATAGAGTAGTCGTAGATTGAGCTGGAATTTTTAGCATGTATACATGACTGAAACAGCGACATCTATGTTGGCTTGGGCATGTTGTGAAAATGGCTGATGGTTGGATTACAAAGGATCTCCTGTATGGAGAATTAGTGCAGGGAAATCACCACAGAGGGAGACCACAGCTGCGATACAAGGACATCTGCAAGCAGGATCTGAAGGCCTTAGGAATGGACCTCAACAGATGAGAACCCTGGACATCTGATCATTCAGCCTGGAGGCAGGCGGGGCATCACAGCCTCTCCCAATTTGAAGAGACCCTTGTCCAGCAGGCTGAGGCAAAGAGGCAGTCCCAAAAGCAGCCAAATCAGAGCTGTACGGAGTATAGATTTTATTTGTCTTCAGTGTGGATGGGATGGTCGCTCTCGAATTGGCCTTCTCAGCCACACTGGACACTGTTCCAAGACCTCCATACAGAGCACGTTACCATAGTCTCTTGAGACTGAAGGATGCCTACTAACTTTTCAACAGTTAAGACAAATGTATGGACACACATTGTCTGAAATCCTGTTGGAGAGCATAGTAAGTCGCACTAGAGTGGCGGAGATTGAATCAGTGGGGATTTCATGAGTCAAGTCCTCCATAAACTCCATTGATTCAAATAGACCTGTTCAAGTTGTGACTTGCTTTAGTGTAGCGCATTGCAACTAGAGTAGGCCCATTTGAGTCAAGGAAATTTAAAGAAGAGTCGACTCATCCTATCCCCACTGATTCAACGGTCTTACTGTCACTATGCCGAGCAACAGGATTTCAGCCAACAATACACCTTGACACAGTTTTCCCACAGGGCTGGAAAGAAAACAAGATGGCCTACCTGAAGGCCATGTGGAAGAGGCAAGTATGGTAGGAAAGGAACTGCTGTTAAGTATGCACGTGATTTCCAGCTCTTGTCAGTTGGATCAGAAGAAGCCTACTTCATCTCTGTTACTTGATCAAATCCTAATCCAAAAGCGGTAATTATTCTGTGCTAATAGGATATACAGTAAATAACAAGAGAAGGAAGTTGGGAGAAAATGCTGCTAAGTTTAGTCATGGGCAAAGTGTCGAAAAGTTCCTTTTTCAGAAGACAAATAGCAGAACCTCAAAGCCACCATGGCCATATTCAGCATGGTATTCTGGGGATTGTGGCCAGAATCCTATTGGGATTTTACTCTTGAGTAAGTGAATTCACATAAGTTGTGTGGCAAATTCTCGCCTGTAGTCCAAAAGAAAATAACATTTTTTTAAAAAGGAGGGGAACATTTTCTTTGCTGAACATAGGATGAACCAAGAATTTCATGACTTTTAATTGAGGGAATCCACTGCCTTGTCGATTTATAGGCAGAAAACACATTTCCAAACATCTAATCATGAGCTTAGCAATATTTTTACTACAGTACTCCTGTTCCTCTCCCTCTTATAGCAGCATGATAAGGCAGAGTTCAGATCAAATTAGCTTTTTCTCTTAAAAAAACAAACAGGTAAATTGTGTGAAGGATGGGAGCTTTTCACGGAGTGTGAAGCAAGAAGAAAAACATATGGGAGGGGGGAACCAAAGGGGAAAAAGTTTGTGTGTAGAGAGGGTGGGTGGCTTGAGCCGTGTTTCTACCTCCCCACCCCAGGGAGCGATAATTACAAAATCAGTTGGGTGTGTGGAGCAAAGTCCAGCATTAGATTTCGGAGAAGCCCAGGCAATGGGCCAGGAGCAAGCTCTGTAATGACAGATTGGATATGGCCAGCTTGTGTCCTGTTTCAGATTCTGGGATCTAGTGATTGCAAAGAGAGAAGAGACAACTTGACGACAGGAATTTGGTGTTCTCTTCGCCAGCGGTTGGGTGGGCTTCTCGTACAAAGTGAAGGGACCACGGGCTGGGACCCCGTTGTTCCTCAAGAGTCTGAGGAGTGAGTCGCTTTCCCCATGGCTTCCTTTATGCTGTTTGAGGATCTGACCCCAGATTTCTCCTGCTCGATATGCCTGGAGTGCTTCTGGGAGCCAGTTTCCCTTCCTTGCGGGCACCTCTACTGCCGAGCCTGCCTCGAGGCACTCTGGGGAGACCACAGCAGCAAGCCGATCTGCCTGCAGTGCCGGGAGATTTTCCCAGAGAAGAGGTACATCCCGTGCAAACTTCTGGGGACCTTGATTCGCCGGATCAGGGGGATGGATCTAGGAGGAGCCGAGGATGGCCAAGAAGCTACCGTGTGCCGGAATCGCATGGCAACCCCAGTCCACAAGGCGATGAAGTGCTATAAGGTGCAACAGAGTTCTTGGGGGTGAGATGGGGGAATTCGGTGGTTGATTTAGTTCCGGCAGAGCTTTTGCAGATCCTCTTAGGCCGTGCTTCTCCGGGTTGCCACTCCGAAGGAGGCCAGGAAAACATTGGGTAGAATTCCAGCCTTCTTGGTTGTGGCCACCAGCCCTTCGTAACTGGCTCCCAGTCAAGCTGATCCTGGCCCCCTCCCTTTAAGAGGTTACTCGAGACATGGCTCTTCATAAAGGCCCTCCATAGCAACCTGTTCGATTTGTTTTCATTTTATCATTTGTTGACTGCCCAGGATAATGCTTCGTGCTAATGGGGTGGTATCAAAATCTATGTAATTAATTAATTGATATACTAATTAATTAATATACTAATTAATTAATTAGTTAATTAATTAGTTAATTAATTAGTTTCTTATTTTTTGGAGGTCTTGTCTTTGAGGGCCCCACAGTGCTAGGGCTGCAGGTTTGTTTGGTGGATTAGACCTATTTATCTACTCGCATTTTTTACATGCTTTCGAATGGCTAGGTTGGCAGGAGCTGGGACAAGCGATGGGAGCTCACTCTGTCGCATGGATTCGATCTTATGACTGCTGGTCTTCTGACCCTGCAGCACAGAGGCTTCTGCGGTTTAACCAACAGCTACTTGCAGGCTGGGAGTTGGTTAAGAAACTGTTCCAAGGATTCCTGGACCTCTAAACTTTCTACTGCATCACTGCCTTTGAGAGGAGAAACATCTGGTGTCTTTTTTTCTAGAGCAGCCTTCACTAGTCTGGTTTTCTACCAATGTGTCAAATTACAATCCCCATCATCCTCTACCTTGCCAGGTCAGTCTGGAAGACAGCCAGTATATCTGGATGGCAAGGCATTGGGATGATGAAGACTGCATCACAAGGTTTAAGCTTCCTTTGGAAGGGAAAGCAGCAGAGACTTCCGATGTCTTTGTAAAAGGTGTTTATTTCCACATATACAGGGGGAGCATGGTGGATTTTAAATAGAATCCTGAATCAGGCAGTTTTGTGCATTAGATACAAAAATAGTATTTGGCCCACGGTGTAGTGGAGCTGGGCTCTGCAGGGTTGAAATTCTGGGAGTTTTCGAGTAGCAGGAACTACGATGTCATGTTTCACCACATAAGGGAGCACCTCTTATTTTAAAATGGACTAAGTGAGCCTAGGTCTTGATCCTGAACCTCCACTTGCATTCTTGAACAGGAAGAGTTGTCACTGGCTATTTCTCAGATGGAATCTAACTTGACGAAGCTTCTCACGCTTAAAACAGAGGAAGAAGAGAAGCTCCAGAACTACCAGGTAAACAGCAACAAGACGGAGACAAATAAACTGAGATTCAGTGTTTGGGCATTCAGACCACGGAGAGAACTATCCTTATCTACCTTTCTGATTTCCAGGCAGTCCTGCTGAGCTTGGATGACCACATCTCTGCTCAGTTTAGGCAGCTCCATCAGTGTCTACATGCCCAGGAGAAGGCGTGTAAAGCACGGTTGGCAGAAGAAGGGGGAGCCCTGCTCCAGGAGACAGAGGAGAGGCTGGAGATGTTGAGGAAAGCCTGCCAGGTGGATCACGAGTTGCTGCTGGATGCCCAAGGTCACCTGGAATTAGAAGACCCCGCAGGCTTCCTCAAAGTAAGGGGAAAGCTGGTGTTCATGAAAAGATTTTGTCCTTTTACCTCTAACAAAAACCTAATTCTCTCTGAGGTGATAAATCCGCCTGTGTCTGGGTTTACCAGATCCTTTGGACTAGCTGCTTCCTGCATTTGAATAGTTCATGGCTGACAACTTTGCTCTAAGTTGGAGCACAGGGGTGAACCTTCTGTAATGTCACAGCAGCTCACTGAATGGTTAGAAGGGGGTTGCAAACAGGCGATTTGCTATTGCATGCTGGCATTGTGTACTGTCAAGTCACACCCGATTTATAGTGACCCTAATACGGCTTTCAAAATAAATTAGATATTTAAGGAGTGGCTTTCAAACTGAAACAAGTTCAGAGGAGGGCAACAAGGAGGATCAGGGGACTAGAAACCATCGATTTGCTATTGCATGCTGGCATTGTGTGCTGTCAAGTCACACCCGACTTATAGTGACCCTAATACGGCTTTCAAAATAAATTAGATATTTAAGGAGTGGCTTTCAAACTGAAACAAGTTCAGAGGAGGGCAACAAGGAGGATCAGAGGGCTAGAAACCAAATCTTATGAGGAAAGGCTTATGAGGAAAGGCATGTTTAGCCTTGACAAAAGAAGACTGAAGGGAGATAGGATAGCACTTTTCAAATACTTGAAAGGCTGCCATAGAGTAAGGGCAAGATCTGTTCTCCATCAACCCAGTGTGCAGGACATGTCATAATGGGCTCAAGTAAGAGGAAGCCAGATTTCGGTTGAATATCAGGAAAAACGTCCTAACTGTTAAAGCAGTACGACAATGGAACCCAATTACCCTGAGAAGTGGTGAGTGTTCCAACACTGGAGGCATTCAAGAGAAATTTAGACAACTATCTGGCAGATATCCTTTGATCTGTATTCCTGCATTGAGCAGGGGGCTGGACGTGATGGCCTTACAGGCCCCTTCCAACTTAATTATTCTGTGATTCTATGATTTTAGCAGTGCCCCCACTCTGGTGAGTCTCCATGACCGAGCAGAGCCAAACCTAAGTATTTTCTAAATCCTAGTCCATTGCTCTATCCAAGACATCAAACCTGGTACCTGGTACCTATCTCTCTGTATACCTAGGGTTATAAAGCTGGGGCCAGGTGATTCCAGAATTCAGAATTTTATAGATTCTGCTAGTCTTCAGCTAGTCTTCAGTTAACCTGGCTAATTTTGTGTTTTTCCCCACTTCCCATCTGCAGGATATAAATTCAGTCCTGAGTAGGTGAGTGTGATAAAAGACATATTTACTTTTTAATATAGATGCACCACTATTTTTTCAGCTATAAATACATCTCTCCCCCACTTCTTTTTATGTGTGTGTGTGGTTGTGTTCCCATTTGGCAAAGAATAAAGCAGCAACGAAACATCCCAGCTTTTCCCGTGGCACCCCGCTCGTGTCAGATGCTTGGACAGTTCAAGGGGCCTTTGCAGTATGTCGTTTGGAGAGAGATGAGATCGGCTCTCAACATAGGTGAGTTGGTCGTTGGTGGAAGCACAAGGGGAACTGTGTTGGCTTTCTTGAATGTACCACCTTAAAAAGTTCAGAATTAGTTGATTGGCGGGCATAAGGTGGTGTCTCCTCCTGAAATGGTGAGGTGAGCCCCCACTCCATTAAGAAAATGAAATGCTGATGTGGTCAGATGGTCCTATTCTGTGGGAACATGGACCCAGGCTGTTTATGGTAGGGGTGGGAAGAAAGTCCATCCACCAGCTAGCCAGCCTCTTGTTTGGACCATCTCATTCTCACTGGTTATTGAGATTAAGGGAACGGGAAGCTGTGTTTCTATGGAAACCAAACCATCACTCCACCTAGTTCAGCATTACCAGGGCTGTCACTAGGAAAGAGTGACTGGGGCTTTGGCTCAAAATGTTAGGGGCACACAGATTGACTATTGGAAGGAAGTCAATCCTGCTGGAAGAGTGTGTTTCTACAGGAACCCACCAGGATCTCAAACTCTAGCCACTGTTAGACTGTTCGGGAATGTTAGGGATTGAACATGCAACTTTCTGCACGTAGAACATGGGATGTAATCAGGATTACGATTGGCCTAACAAAAAAGTAGAGCAAGGGGGAACTGAGTTCAAATCATAGATAGGTGAGAAACACTGGTGTGTCATGGGCAATGATGTCATGGGTAGGTGGCTGAACTTTGAGAGAACCGAATGCTGGTATTTGAAACTTGATTTTTCTTTTTATTGTTCCCTGACTTGAGGAAAGTGACTCAGCGTTTTCCTAGATGGAGGGGTGGAGTACAAATATTTCAAACAACAGCCTAATCTACTTCAAAGTAGTAGATTAGTAAGTAATCTACTAATCTACTGTTGTATCTCAGAGTATGAGATAAATGCTCCCATGTATTATTTTCTGGGTTCCTTGGAGTAAGCATGGAACATCAGAGGCCTGGTAGTAAGTGTGGAGTAAGCAAAATCGCAGGTAAAGTCTTTCTGAGGGAAGAATACATTTAAAATAAAACTCCTTGTTCAGTGAGAAAGGAAAATGGTAGGTGCTGTTTTTCACCCTTTATGTGCTAGATTTCTAAATGCAGAGAGTATTAAAATGTGGCCGTTCCTTGTTGTTACCTGAAGTGACACCATCGAAGATGTGCTCTTACTCTTTGTGTTTGCTGGCTTTGTGGTTTATCTCTCAGTAAAGATAGTCAGTGCTTACAGAGAATGGCTTTAATGTCATTGAAGAGTTTTGAGTGTGCCCTTGATGTCAGCGCTGTCTTGTGAAATGTAGTACTGCTCTCGTAATTCTAGACAGCTTGAAGGTAGGATCAATAAGACTGTGATTAAGATATGGAGCCAGTGTGGAATAGTGGATAGAATGATGGACTAGTTCAAATCCTCACTTAGCCACGCAAACTCCCTGAGGGGGATGTAATCAGTAAATAACTTATTGAACATCCCACATACCACAAAAGCCCTGTCAGAACAACATCAAATAGAAGTGGTTTGGCAGCACATAGCAGTATAATATGAGGACAATAATCATAGTAATAATAATAATCATGTGCCGTCAAGTCAATGTCGAGTTATAGTGACCCTTTCCAGGGTTTTCCAGGTACAGAATATTCAGAAGTGGTTGACTGTACACCCTTCTTCCTGGGGTGTCTTGGGACTGTGCAGTTTGCCCAAGGCTACACAGGCTGTCTCTATTTCAAAGGAGGCACAGTGGAGAATCAAACTCCATCCTCTGGTTCTGCAATCAGAGACCAAAACCAGCCAGCGAAGGACATCATCATCATTAAAATTTAGCTTTCCCCCCTCCTCTTTCTGTAGATTTCCCCCCAATAACCCTGGACCCTGAAACGGCTCATCCTTGTCTTGTCCTTTCGGATGACCTCACCTCTGTCCGGGACGGCCAGATCCGCCGGGATGTTGTGGATACCCCTCTGCGGTTCAACTACTGCGTAGCAGTGCTGGGTTGCCAAAGTTTCTGCTCAGGGAAGCATTACTGGGAGGTGGAAGTTGGCAAGAAACCTTCTTGGACCTTAGGCCTGGCTTACGTCTCCATCAACCGCAAGGGGAAAATTGCCGCCTCCCCTGGCAATGGATACTGGGTCATCCGGTTGCGGAAAGGGGTGGAACTCGTGGCTAAGGATACGCCTCCCCACAGGTTGTGCCCCACCGCCTTTCCCACCAGAGTTGGGGTTTATCTAGACTATAGTGGGGGACTGGTGTCTTTCTGTGATGCCTCCACCATGGATCATCTCTACACCTTTGTTAGCCCCAGATTCACAGGGAGATTGTTCCCCTATTTTTGCCCTGGCCTGTGCAATTCAGGGGAGAATTCCACCCCATTAAAAATATGCCACCCTCCCCTTTTGTAGAGGGAAAAGAGGACCCCCCCCTCTTTATTCTAATTCACAAGATGATTTAATGCATTTGTTCCTCCTGGAAGATTTCCCTGGATAGATCGTACTTTATCTTAAACAGGAAATCATCTTGAGTCTCACCTAAGGAGATCTCCTCTAGTTTAAACCCTTCAGTTGCAATCTCTCGGGCAGTGGCACCCCCTTGTCCGTTGATCCTTCCACTCTGGTCACATCCAGCATGAACAAATAAAGCAAAGGTCGCCTCGAGGATCTACAAGGAAGACCCATAGAAATTAAAACAATAAGAACAGGAGATTATCCTGAAATGCCAGCCCAAAAGTGGAGACTCAAGTTGCAGGACTCCTTGTCAAGTTGGACTGAAGTCGCACTGGTGACTCAACTCAAGTGTTTTTTTCTTCAGTGACTCGGAAACTCAACTCGTGACTCGGAACTCACCCACTCCCTTCCTCTCTTTTTCTGAGGAAAAAAAGCTTTTTTTAAAAAATAGGGACTTGGACTTGGGACTTTGATACCAAAGACTTGGATTCCACTTGGGACTTGATACCAAAGACTTGGATTCCGGACCAAGGACTTGAACTCGAGGCTTGGACCCCAAAACCTTCCAAGATCCCTTCATCAGCCTAAGTTTTCTTGCCTATTCAGTTCTTATTCCAAAGACATGGGCAAGCAATTATGTTGAGAGTAGGATCATGCTGAAGACATCACTACCTGGATTTAATTTTTAGTGTCCTGACATGGGATGTGAAAACTGTAAATAGTTATGAAGTTGTTGCTTGCAAACCAGCTCCGAGGTTCTTCAGCCAACAAATCCATGTCCTTCCTGCCCTTGTTCTCATTACTGGCCAAAATTTGATTGTTTATGAATACCAAGAGTTAAGTGTAGGGGTATAGATCACAATGGTGAAATACTGCTGGTTAAGGAGCTGCTGCTTGCATTGCTTATCAAGTGCCAAGTCAGGCAACCAGCACTCATTGAAGAATAGAACTGGAGACTCTTCTGGTTGCCTGACTTGGCACTTGAATACTTTAATCAAATACCTGTAATGAGAAAGGAAAAATGCAAGTTGTTACTGCTGAGCATTTGAGGTAAAGAGGCCAGAATCCTACTGCTTCCATGCACAGCTTTAAATACAAAAGAGTAAATCACAGGAATAAATTGCCTCTAGTTGAAGAACAACTTGCATTTTTCCTTTCTCATTACAGGTATTTGATTAAAGTATTCTAGTTTTCTGCATTTTATGAGTTGTATGATTGCTTGTTCTTTATTCAGTTGCTTTCGTACTTTTTTGGTCACCCTCTGGATGCAACACATTTTTAGCATCTGTGAAATCTACATTTTATTACTTCTTTGTTTGTCACTCACTTGTGACTGAGGACTGATATATCAGTAGCACTAACATTAAAAGAGGAATTGAACAAGCAAGACTGGCTCAAAATATCATATTTTATATTTTCATTTTTGTCAGGGTGACTGCTCACTGTCCCCCTCCCCTCCCCAGCTTCTTACCACAGAGTTGGACCTTTTTCCTAACTTTTTGAAGAGTTTGCGGGATCTCCAGAGAAAAGTAACAGCCATGAACTGTAGGTTGTTTTCCTTACCAGGTCTGTGGTGTGCCTGGAAACCCTCTGGATGAATTAATATATTATTATTGTTAGTTTTATTTATATGCCGCATTTCTCCCAACAAGGGACCCAAAGCAGCTCACAACGTTAAAATTCACACAATTTAATATCAGGGGTGACTGCAGCTTCCTCTCTGATGCTTGGGAAAGTCTGCCATCTGAAATGTGAAAATGGTATTGCAGGCTATGGACAAGTTTAGTTTAATCTAAAACAAATCTTTTTCAAAAGACCAAATAACTTGTAGACCCAAACCCCCCTAGTGTAATATTAATATGCAAGCCATGTTTGAAATCTCTGGATTTCAGAGTATTGAAACTATGGTGGAGACAGACTCTTCTTTGCATTTATCTATAATATTTATAATAATTTGTTGAGAGGCGCCACTGTTCGTTTAGCATACAACTGTTAAGAGTGATACACACTTCAGTTACTGGACAGTATCTAAACCTTTATTTACACTCTGGATCTGGCATTATCACCTTTGATTAATACCTTTTTATCCTATTTGCCCATCTGTTCTGAAGGGATGTACAGTATTCATTAAACAGCTCTAACCAGAGTAAAAGCATTGATTAAAAAAAAATCAGGACACTCCAGGCCAGCAACTACAGATCAACCCTTATCAGCAGCCAAACGTTTTTTTAAGAAAAGGAAAAACACCACATTGCCCGTATTATACATTATCTGGAAGCTGGTTCCAAAGCCTTGAGGGCAGCAGCAATAAAGGCCTTTGTATGCCATCTTTACTGTACTTCGACCAAGGAAGAGAGGCCGAACCCGCAGAAGGCAAGCGGCAAAGGGTGGAATTCGAAATCTCTGGTGGATCTTGTTTCTTTTAGCTCAGAAAATGTTTCTTGAACCATCCTAGCTGACGATGGTCCCCAAACATGCAGCCTACCGACTAATGATATAATTAAGCACACTAGAGGAGCTTGTTTGTGGGTTTGATTGCATAATCAAAAATTAATTATTTTATTAGCCTGAGGAAAAAACACCATGCTTCTTGCCAGCAGAAGTATGCACCACAGTCTTCTACATCCTCAGCAGAGGGGGGAAAAAAAGCCAAGTTACCCTCAGAAGCTCACATGGTGGTCATAAGGAAAAAAGTTCTTGTTGAGGACTACAACTCCCAGAATCCCCGGCCAACACGGTTGGGGGATTGTGGGGTTTGGAGTTCTCAAAAGAAAATTCTCGGAGGGGGTGTCTTGTACTAAACTGGCTAAAATTGTTAAGACATCCTTCAGTCTCGAAAGACTATGGTAACAGGCTCTGTATGGAGGACTTGGAACAGCGTCTAGTGTGGCTGAGGAGGCCAAAATAAAATAAAATATTTTTAAAAGGCCGGCCTCCATTCTATGGGGCAAAACACACTGTGAGGAGGCAGGTCCCAGGCCTTGATAAGTATTTCAAAGCTCCGGGCTGTATTAAACCTTTTCAAGCCCTCATAGCCCGAATACATGGACGCTTTCGACCCCCCTAACCGCACTTCTCTTCAACATCAGGCAGAAACCCAACAAGTGCAGCCCCTTCCTCTGGCACAGGATGGGCGGGAAAAAAAAGGCGCCTCTGGCGCACTCATTAAAAGAGCTTCCATCCATACCCTTAAGAACAAAAGCAAGCGCCTGGGGTGGGGAGAAACCCCCTGCTTGCCTCGGGTCCTCTTTAAAAAAAAAGGAACCTGAACACGTTACTCTGCCCCGCGTTCCACCTGCAGCTTGGAAACGTTACTTGTGGAGAAAAAAAAGTAACGTTTCCAAAGTTAGAGCTGGGCTGGATGGAGCCCTGGGCTCCCAAAACGGACCCAGGAGTCCCGGCTCCCCTCCTGCAATGCCCTGCTTTTCTTTTCGCTTCTCCCCCCTCCCCCATCATCATCGACCTCCTGGTTTAGAGGCGAAAGGGTTAAACACCATCGAGACCGCCCCTCCTCCTCCTCCTCTCCAGGAGCAGCTGGCGGCGGAAGAGGGGGACCGTCTAAAGGGAAGGAACTTCCTCTCCCCCCTCCCAGACACCCAGAGCCTTGGGGGGTGGCTGGTGATCGAGGGAGTGGGTAGGTGGGTGGGGGGGTTGGCAGAGGGGATGCCCGCCTGCGAGAGAGGAGGAGATTTCGTGGGCTCGGAAGGGGGGGCAGGGAAAGGATCTCCCTCGGCCTGATGGGGAGGGGATCCCCCCTGGGAGCGGATCTCTGCAGAGCGACCCCCTCCCTGGGCGAGGATCAGCTGGAAAGGTGAGTCGTTCGGAGCCCCTCTTTTGCCAGAGCTGGGAAATGGGTGCATTTCATGGCGAGGTTTTTTTTTTTTTTGCAAAAACAAAAGAAAAAAGGAGGGCGGGTTGAAGGTGATTCGGACAGTCGCGCGAATGGTTTCTAGTTTTAATATTTCTTGCAAAGCATCAAAAAGTGGTTGTGGATCGAAGTGTTTGCTGTGACTTAGCATGGCAGGATTGCTGGGGTGGTACTTTCAGATCGGCCAACGCAGGGTATGCTATGCAGTTACCCCCTTGTCCCATAGACACAGAAGGGGATTAGCTACCTAATTCTTGTCCCTGTTTCCCATGAAGCATGGATCACTGGGTGGAGTAAGGCTTTGTTGTTGTTTAGTTGTTAAATCGTGTCTGACTCTTTGTGACCCCATGGACCAGAGCACGCCAGGCCTTCCTGTCTTCCACTGCCTCCGAGTTGGGTCAAATTCCTGTTGGTCGCTTCGATGACACTGTCCATCCATCTCGTCCTCTGTCGTCCCCTTCTCCTCTTGCCTTCACACTTTCCCAATATCAGGGTCTTTTCCAGGGAGTCTGCTCTTCTCATGAGATGGCCAAAGTACTGGAGCCTCCGCTTCAGGATCTGTCCTTCCAGGGAGCACTCAGGGTTCCAAGTAAATGTGCAAATGAATGGGACCTAAGGGAGGGATTTTCATCACCACCTGTCAATGGAGAGAGTCAGCTCTCTAATCCTGTGCTACTGATTTTAACCCTGGAATCAAAGGAAAGTAGCATTTATTTTGGATTCCTAGGACACAACATAAACTTCTCCTCTCAGTAATTATTGATTGTTTACCTCCTGCTGCTCTTGCTTCATTGCTTAGAGAGATCTCATGGCTTAGAGGTAAGGTTTGCACGAAAAAGGCCCACTTCCTGAGACTTCAACTTCCATCATCCTTGACTGTTTGCCATACTGACTAAGGTTGGTAGGAGTTGTAGTCCAAAACCAGGTTGCCTGGTAACCTCTCAGAGTAGTTTCCTATGCCTTGATGCTTTTCATCCCTTTGAAGTATGCAATCTTATCTAATCTGTCTCTCTCCACCCCCCACCCCCTGCAGATTGTGACAGGGCCCCAACACACCCAGTTACAAACACAACATCAATTAAGTGCTTAAATTGCTTCCAGGCACTAAGAAGTCAAGGAGAAGCCCTTTGTATTTGGACTTGGCTCTCTCTCTACCTGGTGGCTCCTGACAGATCCCAGCTGCAAAGATTTAGTCTACCAGTAGCTGGTAATTGGCACAAGCAGGATCTGTTATTTGGATGCAAACCTTATTTATTTCTTTATATTATTTATAAGCTACTTTTCTCCCCATAGGGGAACCAAGGTGGCTCACAACAATTAAAACTACAGCGACAGGTAAAAAATTATACAAAACAATATTAAAACACAATTAAAACCAAGGTTCGTTTTCGTTTAGTTGTTTAGTCGTGTCCGACTCTGGGACACGGTCCTCATCCCTGTTTCCAAGCCATAGAGCCAGCGTTTATCCGAAGACACTCTTCCATGGTCACGTGGCCAGTACGACTAGACACGGGACGCCGTTGCTTTCCCACCATGGTGGTACCTATTTATCTACTCGCATTTTGCATTCTGCATGCTTTC